TTAACAGATCTAAATTTCTTTTTTTTTCCTTCATAAATTTTCTACTGATTCGATCGAGCAAATGAAAACAGATTATCACTATAAAATGTGTAAATTTAAACAGACAAATATCGAGGGTAGCTGATAGTGGGTGTTTAAGTACCCACTAATAAAACGAGCCACTACGTTTTTGTGAGATAGAAACAAGTTAAAGGCTTTGACAAACAGCCTATCAAGACCGCATAAGAGCTTTTCTGGAACTTTTCATGAGGCTCAACAATTCTGCTTTAAATAAGATTGCTTCCTTTGCCAGTAATGGTAATGTCTATCCCTCTCAATTACAAGAAAGAATCCCCACGATGACACCGTCCCTGGGCTAAAGTTACTGAGACCCACAACGCGTGGTTATTGGCATTGTCGCGAGCAAAAAAAATCCAGCTGGGTGTAACCATTGCAATTGAGAAAATTGGACTAAGTTGTTGTCTTTTCGGCTAGGATAGTGTAGCAGAAGAGTTGCGTCCCCAAACGCGGAAGGAGTCTCTTGTTGAAAAGGCAATTCCCTTGCCACGACGCTCTCGACTACGTATCCTAACTTTTGTTACGTAAACCGATACATAATTAAATGGAAGCAATATACAGTAGTTAACATTGAACGAAAACTACTAACGCCTATAAAAACAAAAAATGCATCCATATTTGAAGAACCGAAGATATAAATTGGCGAAACTTCTAGAAAATTGCTAAACGTTGGCCTTTTAAAGATAGGAGTCAACGTGACAGGCCAAAAAAATTCAGGCCTCAGATTCGTTTTCAGTCTTCTTTGTCGATTGCCTCAGCAGTTTTTGTAGCGCACTCGTTGATCTATATTTCTATTCTTTATTGCCTGTTCTTGGTTGACAAAATCGTAATTTTCCCTTCTGTTGACACGAAATATTGCCTCATACCCTTAGCAGACGTCTGCTTATAAGGTAGTGAACATGAATTGCTACTTGAGGGACGCTTTTAGACGTCTAAAACGCTAATCTTGAGAGCCAAACCTGAGATATTGTTTTTGCGAGTTACTCAAATGTAGGCAATGTTTTAAGTGTAAAACGATATTTAAAATAAAATCATACCATTACTAATAGTAAGTAGGAGATTTAGTATTATAACTAAGGAGGATGGCATCAAGTATTTAAGCCTAAAAACGTCTCTAACAATTTGGCAGGTTGATTATCTAATTAGGGCTGCGTGGCGAGCTCTGTGACATGGAGAGTTTCAACAGGAACTTCTAGTGATATTAATAGATTTTTGATCAACTAACTCTCGAAGCTTCACAGGCGATTACTGATAACGAGTAGATACCTCTAGCTGGTTAGCGCCAACGCTCTCATCATTACAATTGTCTTGTTAAAGAATAAACTGTTTGACGATGTTGTCAATTGTTTGTATACATCTGTGATGTTTATATAAAAACTAAATGTTTCACATTACAACTCCATGAAAATGTTGTTTTATTTGGTGTGATGCAATTACCATAACCCGGATACCCAATTCCGTCTTCCGACAGGTAGAAATGCAACGATGATCTGATTTAGCTGCAATAAATGGCCTTAATAATAATCATAATGACTATTAGATATGTAACAAGTTATACAGAGACCTCTGGTGGCAGTTCAGAAAAATAAAATAGCAACAGTAATCTCAGCCCAGTTTAAGCATCACGTCTGAATAATGATCTCAGCATATGATGGGTTTGTAGCTTTATTCTGACACACCGATAATGCATAGAACTTTTAAAACAAAGCCCCCCTACGACCAACGAGCTCATGTACAAGTGTCTGCACTTCTAGACAGAAAAATTCTGTTTCTTCAACGATGATTTTCAAAAAATTATATGGCGCCAAATGTAAACCTTTTTTGCGTTTGGTAGTCACTAGTGCTTCGGGATTACCACCTTGTGTGAAGTACCAGCAACACGAAGCACGGCAATATATAAAACAGTCATGTACATACGCCTCGCGCTAGCCCATCGACAGCTGGCAGAAACGATAAACGAAGCTACTCTGAATCTATCGTCCAATAATACAACGTCTTATCTCAATCAGTGCAAGGCTTTTAATATATTGAGCTGGTCACCGCATGCGCCTGCGCTGTTACAGATTAGGAGTGTACCGAAAGGCATCATGTAGTTGGGCGGAACCGAGACGCCATAACAAATTCGATAAAACACTAGTTTCGGCATCATCTCCCGGTGATGCAGTAACCGAAGACAATGACCTCGCTGTAGTCAAAATTAATATATAATAAATATAATAACCTGAAGTTACTACGGATGAGTGGCAAAGATTACGAGTTTCAATTTGTGTGCTAGTAAAGCCCAAGATGCTATCTATCTGTATAGCCCCGTTTATATTTTCGCTCTTCGATGATTTGGCAACATTATCAGATGATTTTCTTGGGTTCATCTCTGTTTTGTTGGTCGCCTCAGTAAACGGCAGAAGCTTCGATGGTTTTGTATTCCGACGGTTTACATTGATCTGATGTTGATATTAAATAATCGTTAGTTTACGTACTTGTCCTAAAATCGAACCGTTGACCCGTGAGAGGGCGCTTTCATGTAAATACGTAACGCTTCGTCACTTCTTCCGTATAGAAATATCGCGCTATTCAACACAGTAAATAATCGATAGAAAGCCGGTCATACTGTGTGACTTGTTCATCAGCCTGAAACGCTGTCTCGTTTCAACGGGAATGGGTGTACCAAGCAGCCTATATCCTGCTTTCAACTGCTCAGCAGGACAGGAGCCATGAACAGGAACACAGTTGCACTACGGGGCAAATTTGTTGGGTAATAGGTCAATTGTACTAACAACAATATATTGCAACTATTTTGTTAACGATTCTAGTCATCCTGTGAATATTCGTTCCTCGTGGAGTAGCTAGAATAGCTAGAGTGGATGATATTGTATCTATCGTTCGTACGCTGTTGTTATAAGCTTTACAGATACACCGTTCTTCAAGCTACTTTACAAGCTCAAGAAGCAAATTTATTATACACATCGGTATACGTTACAAGCCAGGCGAAAGCAAAAATTTTACGAGTAATATGTTATAACAAAGAGGCTATCGTTGGACTCGCACCATCGTATGTATGTGTCTAGTACAACTAGAAGACAAATAGGCAAGAAGCCTGTACGTACAAGGTAAAGTTCGGCGACAGTTGACAGTAAGTTACATCACCTTCATCGGCAATGGTCTGTATAGTAGAAACGTCATTTCGAGAACAGTTCTTCTCCTCAATTGACTGATCACTGCGCCGTTGGCGAAGCTGTGTATCACAGTGTTTTTAGAATATCCATGCCGTGATAAATACTGTTTCAGCAAGAGCATAATTCCAAAGTGCTTTAATCTCTGTTTGCTTCAAAACTGCCTTATTTTATAGCAGTAGCTTTCTTCGACAGGTTCTATTTAGCATATCTGTTGGTGAATTCGGCTATCGCTAACGGAATCACAACACAAATGTTTAGTGCCTTAACCAAAAAAAAAAATGTTTATGTTGCTTTTCTAACCTATCTCAAACGTGCAAAATCATACATTGTAATTAAACACATTAACAAAAAGACTGTAGTATATAGTATTCAAACAGTACAATTAAACCATGTAAAAAATTAACCTTGATTTTAGTTGTTGACAGATCTAACAACAAAAACAAATTAAGCCCAGCTGCTAAACAATGATGTCAACAACAGCTGTATCGTCATATAGCTCCATAAAGAAAGATGTTTTCTTTCTAATTAGATCCTACTAAAGAACGTTAACTAAAGTATCCACGGGCATATTGTATTTACGTGTATAATATTCCAATATTACATAACTACGGCCTCTAGATCGTCATCCTCTCAAAATATCCAAATATTTCACGCTTCCAAAATTAATTCCTATTTTGGATTTGTTTT